CTGTATTTTTGCTTTGAACGTTGAAATTTATTTAAAAAAAAAATTTAACCAGGGGCTGGGGATATAGCTCAGTGGCAAAAGTGCCTGCCTGGCAAGTCAGATTAAAGTACCTCCTTAGGCAGATTTGGGCTGGGGGTTTGATCACCGGTCTGCAGTGGCACACAGCAGAGAGGGGCCCCCCCCCCCAGGCAAATGAGACTGGGCTTGGTGGTGCATGCCTGTAATGCCACCTCTTGGGAGGCTGAAAAACAGGAAGGATCACTACAAAAGTTCGATCTGTGTAGTGACACCCTATAGACCCTGTACTAGATACATTAATAAAATAAAATTTATAACTATACCATACCTGACTTTTATAATAGTTTTCATTTGCTTTAAAAATTATGGGGCTGGGCAGATAGCTCATCTGTCTTAAGTGCCTGCCTGGCAAGCACAAGAACCCGGGTTTGGTCCCTGGTACTGTATGCTGTGCCAGTATCACATGCTGTGTTGGCTCCATACTGTGCTAGCCACTGAAATGGGGCATAGTGGTACACACCTTAATCCTAGTGCTGGGGAGGCTGAGACAGGAGGATCACTAGAGTCTAAGCTGTAAGCAAGACCCTGTACCAAATAAATAAATAAATAATAAAAATCACATATCTTTATTTTTAATTAGTTTTCTAATTGAGTGTAATGATACTATATTTAAAAAGTGCAAAGATTTATAGTTTGATTATTTGATATCTAAAACCATTAAAAATATTAAATTGATGATTTATTAACCATTGTTTAAAACAGTGTTATCCAAAGTCAGCAAAAATAATTTGGTCTAGTAAATAGCATATAGATCGAAGAAATACATTGACATATTTGACAGATGACATTCTGTTGTATTGCATATAATGTGACCAATAACCTGAAATATATTCAACTTTCCCTATATACAGTTATTGTTCTAACATAAACAGGTTACCTGGTTAATTTATAGCAGCCTAGAACTCACCAAAGCAGTGAATAAGTCAATAGGTAGACCGAATTCTTCCTGTTTTGTCTAGCTTTCTAGGGGTCATATAAGCTGAACTATAAAAGTCGTTTTAAAGATAAAAAGTGCACAAATAATAAGGGCATAGTAATAAAACACTAGGAAAGTCAAATCTCACTGAATGTGGTAGCAAACATTGGTAGTCTTAACTGCTGGTAAGATTGAGTCATAATGATGACTTTAGCCCAGGAGCTAAAGGCCAGATGGGACAGTATGAAAATTCATCTCCAAAAATAGGGTAAAATTTCACTTATGGTTATTGAATTCTTCGATTTGAAGCATGTAACTTGTTGTGTGCCATTTTATTCCCCCTCCATAGGTTTCATGCCACCGCCAGTTCCCCCACCGGTTGTACCACCCCCTGCAATTCCACCAGTAGTACCAACATGTGAGTTTTCCGAACGCAGAGTTTTCTTTATATCCAACAGTGATAATGCATTGGTTCTTATTCTTGCGAATTATTTTCAACTATGAATTTGTGATGTGATTTCTAAAAATTAACCATATCATAGGATGGTTGTTAGTTGTATTTGATTTGTTGTCTCAAAATATCTGTATAAAGTCAGGGAGATACCTCAGTGGCATAAGTGCCTGCCTCACACGCATAAGGTCCTGAGTTCAATCCCCAGTACCCCTCCCCCGCAAATTGTCTTTATAAAATTTGAAGACTTTACCTGCAGTCCTGCCCAAATTCTCCTTTCATTTCATAAATCTTCATGACTTAGTGAAAAAACAATTCAGATTGTGTGCAGGTTGCCACATAATAGATTAGGATTTTTGGTTTCTTTGTGATACTGGATTTGTTCTTTTTGTGTTTCATGGACAATAAAAGCACCAAAGACTGATAAGTAGTTTGTACCTTTTGATACTCTATACTCAATTTTGTTTTTCTTTCCTTTGTATTTTAAAATGCTTTCCTTTTAGTGTTTAGGTAGCAGTAAGAATCCTTTTAGAAATACATACTAAGAATAATTATTTCTAAAAATATTCAGAAGTCATTTCTGTACAGAGGCTTCTGCTATACCTTGCCTGTCAGTTCTCCCTAGTTTTTGAAAATCTGGGCTCATATAATAGAGAAAGAAATACGTAGTATTCTACAGATTGTGTCTAATGTCTCGTTTAATTTCATAACAGCTGCTTATGAGCACAGGTGGTTTTATCCTTCCTTTAAATCTCTTTTGTGCTAACAATTTATATAGGTAGTTCTAGAGTTAAATATGAAGAAAAAACATTTCCTAAAATCTGCATTTATGATTTAACAGTATCCTAAGTGACACATACTGGACTAAAACTTGTATCTGTATATTTTACGTTTCTGTAGTTCTGCTTTTTAATGTATAAATGAAATGTACTTAGAAATTTTTCTCCTACTACTTTAGCATGGGTTCCTTAATATTTATAGTGTACCTTACCTACTTTCATTTGAGTTTCTAACCTCCCTGGACAAAAGATCGAATGTAAGAACTCTGTTATATCATAATATCAAGGAGATGTTAGATTTTCGATCTGGTTCATAGTTGTCAATATGTGCATGCTCATTATATATATTTATATTATTCACTTAACTGGGCTGGAGTCCTTAGAAAATTAATTTTTAGAATAGAATTTATTTCTTCAGTACTAATTATTTTATTAATCACTTTAGGTGAAATTATTTCTTAAATTTATTGGGTTTTCCAGTTTTTAAAAAACAAAACTTTTGGGCGGGGGAGATGGCTCAGTGGCATAAGCGCCTGCCTGGCAAGCACAAGATCCTCAGTCTGGTCCCCAGTACCTAAATAAATAAAATAAATAAATACATAAAGAGAATTTAAAAAGCTAAGCTTAGTACAATTTAGCCTCTTCATGATGATTCATTGGTCATTTTGAACACTAGTTATATAATACAATTAGTAATACAAAAGTACCATTAAATGAAATATTTAAACTGCCAGAAAACTTAGTATATGAATTGATTAATTAAATCTGAAATACATTTTTCTCCTTTCTAAAACAGCTTTAGTGCAACCACCATTATCCATGACCCCAGAAACTGTGAAAGATGTTGGATTTGGTAGCCTTGTTTTACCAAGTGGGTCCGTTACCAGTGGTCTTGCTACTGCCGCTCTGCCAGCTGGAAATGTTTTTAATCCCCCAGCTAAAGCAGAGCCTGAAGAGAAAGTACCTCATCTTATAGAACACCAGATTTCTTCTGGTGAAAATACCAGATCAGGTAAAACAAAATGAAATAAAATCTCTGGAAATGCATACACATTTCTTCTGTTTTTGGGGTTCAGTGTGGGGTGACATACATTTTTAATCAGTTCAATGCACAAGTGCTGACATAGTCTAATTTTTGATAGAAATCACTGTGTCCTACAAATTACATTTTAAAATAATGACATTCTGTTCAGAATAAGATTGATTTCAACATCTTTCTGTTAACTGTCCCCCTCCCAGGGGAGGGTCTCGCCCCTTTTTTCACCTGTTGGGACTGCTATATTTCCATCAAAACAAGAGTGCACCAAATCTGTGTAATTCATTAAAAGATAAAAATTAGCATGTATGGCTAGTCTCATTGGCATATAGATACAATAGATGCAATCTCAGTACTCTGGGAGCCTGAGGCAAGAGCATCACAAGTTTTAGCCTAACCTGGACAACTTAGAGAGACCTTGTCTCAAATTTTAAAATGGACAGGGGATGTGTATTGGTGCAGAAAGCCTTGGGTTTAATCCCCAATGCCACCAAAAAAGTTTTCAGGTTTGAATATTTTAATATTATCCAGCTACAGCTGGAAGATAAATATAATATTTGAAAGCCTTAAGTCCTTTCTTACGACCCTACAATCTAGGTGTCATTTAAGACTTAAGTCTTTGTTAAAGATGGCAGTCAGCGTAAAATGTAAGTTTAAAAAAAAGATTTCATGCAAGTTTAGTTTAGGATGTAGCCCCATTTAAGTTTTTAATCTTTCAACTACACTCTGATGTTAATATTAGATTTAATTTTTTTTTTTAGTATCTAGTATAGCTTGATTCTACAAGTAGCTAACTCTTAAGATAATTACTAGAAATTAAAGCTTTTATAATTTCTGATGTAGTTTCTTTTTCATGCCCAAGTAACTTACTTTGGATTATTCTTTTTCCATTTTAGTGATTACAAATGATATTTCAAATAGCACTGCGATTCTAGGAGGACAGCCGTCTAATGTGACAAGCAATTCTGGAATTCTGGGTGTCCAAAGACCAAATGTATCAAGTAATTCTGAAATACTTGGGGTTCGACCATCTAATGTCTCCAATAGTACTGGGATTATTGGAGCCCAGCCACCAAATATCATAAATAACTCTGGAATTTTGGGAATACAGCCACCAAGTGTGTCGAATAGTTCTGGACTTTTGGGAGTATTACCCCCAAATATTCCTAATGCTTCTGGACTTGTAGGAGTACAGCCACCAAATATTACAAATACTTCTGGACTTTTGGGAACACAGCCACCACCAGCTGGACCTCAAAACTTACCCCCTTTAAATATCCCCAGTCAAAGGATGCCTGCAATGCCAATATTAGACATCCGTCCAGGACTAATACCACAGGCACCTGGACCAAGATTCCCTTTAATACAGCCTGGAATTCCACCTCAGCGGGGAATCCCTCCTCCATCAGTACTTGATTCAGCTCTTCATCCACCACCCCGTGGACCTTTTCCTCCAGGAGATATCTTCAGTCAGCCAGAAAGACCTTTTCTAGCTCCTGGAAGACAAAGTGTAGACAATGTTACTAACCCAGAAAAAAGGATACCACTTGGGAATGATAACATTCAACAAGAGGGAGATAGAGATTACCGGTTTCCTCTCATAGAAGCCAGGGAGACCATTGCTAGACCTCCCCCTGTGGATGTTAGGGAAGTGGTTGGACGGCCTATAGATCCAAGGGAAGGTCCTGGAAGGCCTCCTTTAGATGGTAGGGATCATTTTGGAAGACCTCCTGTAGACATAAGAGAAAATCTTGTGAGGCCAGGTATAGATCATCTTGGTCGAAGGGACCACTTTGGCCTTACTCCAGAGAAGCCCTGGGGGCATAGAGGAGATTTTGACGAGAGAGAACACCGGGTTCTACCTGTCTATGGTGGTCCAAAAGGCTTACATGAAGAAAGAGGTAGATTTCGGGCTGGAAACTATCGATTTGATCCTCGAAGTGGTCCTTGGAACAGAGGATTTGGACAAGAAGTTCACAGAGATTTTGATGACCGCAGAAGACCCTGGGAGAGGCAGAGGGATAGGGATGACAGAGATTTGGATTTCTGCAGAGAAATGAATGGAAATCGTCTTGGGCGAGACAGAATTCAAAACACTTGGGTTCCCCCTCCTCATGCTCGGGTTTTTAATTATTTTGAAGGGGCCACTTCTCAACGAAAAAATGATAATGTGCCTCAGGTTAATGGTGAAAATACAGAGAGACATGCTCAGCCGCCGCCTTTACCCGTACAGAATGATCCTGAACTGTATGAAAAACTGACATCTTCAAGTGAGATAAACAAGGAGAAGAGTGACACAGTTGCTGATATAGAAAGTGAACCAGTGGTGGTAGAAAGCACAGAAACTGAGGGGACATAATCATCACTCAGTAGGTAAAAGATACCTTTTGTAAAGTTGTCATCTCTCTGTAATAGATTAATGGCTGACTGGACCATAGTTGTTCACTTTTGTCTGCCAGAATTAAGTTAAATCTGATGTTCATGTTCACCTTTCTCTTAAAATAATTGTACAACTGACTTGTATAGACATTGTTCTTAATATGAACATGGTAGGTAAACATCTTTTTTATTTTTCTGATAAAATATAAATGTTGCCCCCAGATTCTTTTAACGTCAAGGAAATGAATTTAACAGCTTGTCAGAGACTTCCTATGGAAGAAAGAATTTTTAGATACTATCATTAGGTTGGATATGGTAATAGATATATTTCAAGATAGCAAGTTATGGTATATCTTACCCATATCTCTAGGCTGCTGCAGAATTTTAAGGTAATAGACAAAGCTGTGATATTTTATGCAAAGACTGACTAGATATTTGAGGAGCATAATACAGAGATTTTAAAAAGTGATTTTGTAAAATCTACACCATGGTCTCTGTTACTCCAAAGTAAGTGTGTGTGATTTGTTCCTCATGCTGCAGTGAGTAAAAAAGAAAACAACATAAATATTAAAGTACGTTTCAATGTTGGGTGAATTTTGTTTTTAGATGCCAATAAAACTTGTTTGATAACAGTGTTCTAGGAATTGTATTTTTTTAACCTACCAATTCTTAAAACCATGAAACAGTAGCATGTGTTTAGCAACAAAAATTGCCTATTCCTATTACTCTTGAAACAATGAAGAACTGTGTGGTGGAAAAGCATGTACTTTGATACAAAAATCATATAGTCTTGCAAGTATGTATGTAATATGTATGTTTATTGTATGAGTCAATGTTTTTTTCCTACTTCTCTGTGTCTGTCTCCATACATATACAGAGAAAAGTAAATTTTTAAAAATTCAGGTAATAAAATATTCTTTAAAACCTCATAGAAAGTTGGAAATATTGGCAAATTAACACTTCATACTGTAGTTATAGTTCGTAGTCTTGATGAAGGTAAATAAGAAATATAACGAAAAACATCAGGGCAACAGTTCTTTTTAATATAAAGCATAATTTCAGATTTAGCATGGAACCAAACTTATATAAATGCTTGCATTGCTTTGTTTCACGCTATATTTGATATTCTGCATAGATAGTTCTGGCACTAACGAGCATTGTTATTCACATGCCTGGTGTGAATTTCTTTCTTGCACAAGATGTGCATTGGTGTGATGGACTTAAAGATACTGATTTGTGTACCAGGAACAAAATGTCCATCATGTATTTCAAAGGACCTGCATAACAATCCTAAATAAGCTTCCCATGTGGAAAGGAGAAAAACTGGGAGCTGGTTTCCTGGACTTACTTTTTTTTTTTTTTTTTGCTTTTAAATTCCTTTCTTTTTTTTTTTTGTTGCTTGTTTTCTTTTGGATTTTCTATGTATAATACATGTGTATATAAAACCTTGATGCTTTAGTTTCTAGTGGAAGGCTTTCATTGGTTCTGTCAGTATTTACTTTCTTTCCTTTGCATTTCCGACAGTTCATCATTTGCTCTTATGTTTGTCAGTCTACCGGCAATAGTAGACTAGCACCACAGCAATGTAAACTTGGGTTGATTTTGTTTACCTCTGATCATCTTGACAATTATAGGAACTTTAATTTTTCTGACCAAAAATAAAGCCTTTTACTTGATGGTCCAAATAGATATAGTACATTATTTTATTTGGAAAAATAGTAGAAATGTCTAAATGCTGTTTATTTCTAAGTAATTCAGTCAATAATTTGAATTGGTTTTAGATCTTAGGGGAATGAGGGAAAAGGACAGTATTAGAGAACAGTGTTCACAAAAGATCAACCTTGTCTTGGAGTCTCTTGAAACTACACTAAGTTGCATTTGCTGTGATTAGAATTAAGTGATAATGACTTAAGTTAGTGGCAAGAAAAAAATTTGAGGGCTTTTTTAATGATTTTTGACTCCACTCCTTTCTTTGCTGTTAGACTTTTCACATAGGTATTTGAAAATAATAAGTACTAGTATCAGACTGGTTTGGAGGGGAAAGTTACTTGACCATTTGACAGTATGTATCTTAAAAACTCACTTTGGAAATGTGTGTGGTACTCTTTTTAAGATAGCTAAAAAGAAATTATGAGTGTGTTCTTATTTTGTCCTTGTTTTGCTATGAAGTATTTAAAAGAGAAAGGAGATTATTCATCATTTTAAATTGCCAAAGCTGCTATTTACATTTATTGATTATTTTTTTATGTTGGAGAGAAAAGTTAATTATTTTGGTTAAGTGTAATTTAAGAGTGGCCTTAACACACCTTCAATATTTTTGATCATAGTTCAGTCATTAGAATGCTAACAGAAACTCTTATAATAGTTTGAGGTGTAGCAAACAGTAACTATATTGGATATTGAATTATATGGTGGTGCGGGCTTGGGTTGGGTTGGGTTTGGTGCTGGGAATTGCTGTCACTGATTTGTGCCTCCCAGCCTAGTATAGCATCTCTTTTTTTTTATTTTTTATTTTATTTTATTTTTTTTGTGGAACTCAGGCCCTTATTCTACTGAGCTCTATCTCCCTGGCCCCTAACGTAGCATCTAATGTGTGATGTGTTAGAGTGTTAAGATTTTCAGCAGTTTTAGTTGGCCCAGTTACTAGTTTTAATTTTTTTTCTAAATGTCTCTATAACCATTTCATTACATATTGGTTTCTCATTTTTAAACACAAATTTTATCTATCTATATATAAATAAAATATTTATATCTATATATACACGATATATATATAATTAAGCACAAATGTATATCATAGTTGGAAGAAACTGTGTGTGTGTGTGTGTGTGTGTGTGTGTGTGTGTGTGTTACTGGGGATCGAACTCAGGACCTTGTGCTTGCCAGGCAGACACTTAAGCTCCCTGGCCCTGGATAGCAACTTCATAGCAAAGTACTCTTTATCTGTTTTATATTCTGGGTAGAATGTTCTATTCTAGTTATAATTTCATGTTTTGAATGTGTTAGAAGATAGAAATAGCATGAAATTGTTCATGTAAAACCCTGGAAGTAATTGCATGTAGTATTTCATTGATAAGTTATTAATTGATCGTAGTTCAGTCACTAGAATGCTAGTGGTTAGAAACTCCTACAATTTTTTGAGGTGTAGTGTAGCAGGCAGTAACTACATTGGATACGGAATCATATGGTAGTGTTTGGTTGGATTGGGTTGGGTTGGGTTTGATGCTGGGGATTGCTGTCGTTGATCTGTGCGCGCCCCCCCCCCCCCATCTACCATAGCATATAATGTGTGATGTGTTAAGAGTGGTAAGATTTTCATTATTTATTTTTACCAAAGCAGTTCCTCTTGTGCTTCAAGTTCAGTTGTTTCATTAATGTGCCATTTTTCACTCATACAGGATTAAAGTTTATGAAGCTGCACATTTATAATTCTGGGGGGTTAGGGCAGTATTCTAAAATTTAAACAGAGAAGGGAACCTTTTTTAATTTGTGTTTGTTTATAACCACCATTTTTGGGCTGGGGAGTTAGCTAAGTGGCTTAAGTGCCTGCCTGGCAAGCACAAGGTCCTGAGTTTCATCTCCAGTACCAAAATAAAATAAGAAGTTATCTTGTCTAACACCATTTTATTGGATGTCATTGATTGCAAGACCAGATACAAATATAAAATGCTTCCAATAAGACATACTAGGGATTATTAAGCACACCCATACTCTCAGATACTAAATGGAAAAAGTCACAGAATGAAAGAAATCCAGGATTCATTATTGAAGTACACATTCAGTTCATTGAGAATGTATGGTTATTACTGTTAATATATTTGAATAAGTTCCCTACCCATGTAAATGTTCATACGCTGTATACATTTAAGAGGTGTAGAAAATATTTTCACATTTTTCCTTACTGTATATTTTCAGATGGGCACAATTTTTAATGAACAAAGAAATTTTATATTCAATTAGGAATAATTTTATTAGATGTTATATGCCTTCATATTAATAGACTAGTTACTAGGTACTATATTAAAAAGCTTTGATGCCTTTTAACTTTCAGAGAAACTATTTAATACAGAATGGGAGAACTAGTGCCTTTTGATAGGTTTTGATGGTGTCGCAGCAGAGAAACAGGCAGAAGGAAAAAAGGAGAGGGGCTTTATTATAAAGGGAAAGGGGCTTCATTATCTTGGAGGACACAGAGAGAATTTGAGAAGATAAGGAATTCTCTGGATCCAAACAAAGGGAGGCTGAGGCTTTCATGGCCTTTTGCTGGGGGTGGGGTTTGAGGGGGATGTTTAGATATACCTGAGGAGCTGATTGGGGCCTTCCCTGAGGTAGCAGGAAAGGTGAAAGGAAATTCCACCCTGGGCTGAGCTGGAGGAGAAGAGGGGAGGTGGTCTCTGGGGAGAAGAGCTGTTGTTCTAAGGGCTTCAGTCATGTAGCATGACCACCATAATAATTCAGCAATTCATACTAGGGCCATAACCTGTCACCTTTATATTTACTTTTTAAAAGATCTTTTTAATTTATTTCGTACAAAATCTCACTACACAGCTCAAACTTGTAGTGATCCTCCTGTCTCGGCCTCCCCAGCACTGGGATTACACATGTGTTCCACCACTTCCGGTTTTGGTGACTGGCATGGCATGTCCTGGGCTCCAGGGCCAGTGCAGCATGTGGTACTGGGGATTGAACTAGGGTCCTTTTGCTTACCAGGCAGGCGCTTAGACCACTGAGCTATCCTCCCAGCCCTTTATGTGTTTTTAAGATAGGCAAAATAAAGCACTAAATTTAAGTAATTAGATGCTATAATGTGGCAACAAATTACGTTTCCTTAATTGTGCTTTCATTCTATATAAAACATCTTAAATCGTATGTTGTGGGCATTAAAATTTTTTACTTCTAAAGGGAAAAATTTGTTGTTATAGGTTTTAATAGAATTTTAACATAAGATGCTATGATCCAACAAAATTTTTTGAAGCTAGAGATTAAAATTAATAGCCTAGAGCCGGGGAGATAGCTAAGTGGCATAAGTACATGCCAGACAAGCACAAGGTCATGAGTTTGATCTCGGTATCGAAAAAAATAAATAAATAATTAAATACTTTAGATTAATCTCTTTAGAGGTGTTAGGGAATCATTTGTAGAGCTCTTGGAAACTTGTAGGGTGATTGGTGGTTATCACAAACTAATACAATATAAGTCTGTGGGGATACATGTATATAAATTATATGTATACACCATCCAAGTTATATACATATATTTTAAAGGCCTCACATACTACCATTTTAAATACATTAAAATTACTGAATATACTGTATATTTAATATTCTTGACATTTTAAAAACGTTACAGTATTTACATAGAACTTTTTTTAGTTTTATGGCAAAACAGTAGAGTTAGTTGTAGCAACTCTTTATGGAGAATGATTGAAAAGTAAAGGTCAGTTATGAATAATTTCATATATTGAACCTAAGAAAGAAACTATTATAACAGGAAAAACATGGAAGGAAGCTTAAGATAACTTTATGGTATATAACAGCCCTAGTGCAGGCCCTTCTATTTTGAGACATAATCACATTAAATTGCCCAGACTGGGCTGGAAGTTGGGGTCCTCTTGCCTTAGCTTCTCAAGAGTGCT